ACGGCGTTTGTCGCGCCTCGGATTCGGGTTCTGGGGCGTGACAAATTTAGTGGTATCAGAGCTTAGGTTAAATTAGATATCTGGAGATTTAGTGGTATCAGAGCTTAGGTTAAAATTAAGAGCTTAAGATTAAATTAAGCACCTTCAGATTGAGTGGCATCAGAGCAGATTGAGTGATATCCAAGCTTAGGTTTAATTGAATACCTAGGATTTGTTTTGGACTTAGCTAGCCAGTGGATTTTAGAATCGTGGTGAGACGAGTGATGGGGTTATATAAGGGACGATTCTGATTCATGTTATCTGAATTTGCTAATCCATTTGAAGAGATGGTAATCTGATTGTTCTTGTTTCTTGCCTTCATACTTTGTGTGAAGTTGTGAAAGTGATCTTGCCCGTTATGTCCTGAAGACCTTGTTTTGAAACTTGGTCATTTTCTGATTGTCCGCACTTGTTTAGACTTGTTATGTGAATAGAATTTTTGTATGCTCTTTTGCCACAATGTTGAAATCTGGGGAGTTGTAGAGATCTTTTGTTATTGACTCTGTTTGTCTCTACAGCCTAGCTGGTTGAGAAATTTGCTCTGTTTGTCACATGACCAGTGGAGGATGGGTAAACTCTCTACTTTGCAAGAGATTCAAGGCTATTTTAGCCAATGTTGTGTGTTTTTCTAGATGCGTTTTAGGAGCTGGATTACTTGGTAATTCCGTTGCTCCTTATCTTTCTGAAAGTCTTGTAGTGAAGTTTCACTTTTTCCATTTGAAGCTTCATGGTCTTTTCATGTGGCTCATTTTTCTATATTGGTTAATCAAGAACAGTGATCCTTCAATTGAAATTGCCTTGTTTTTATAAAGATTGGCAAGCTATCAGAAAGTTAAACTCTCTATTGCTGCCAATCTCTACATTCTTGATACTTGGAAATTGCTTGAAACTCTTGAAATCCGTCTTGAATCTTTCTTGAGATTGCTTTGTACTTGTTCTTGAAACTGAAATCCAGAAATGGATAATGATTATTGAAATCCTCATTATCTTGATACTTGTTTGAAATTAATTCTTGCACTGTCCTTGGAATGTAGTTTGAATTGTCTTTGAAAATGTTCTTGTTCTGACTCTGCTCTTGCTCAAATTTTGTATACTGCTCTTGCTTGAATCTTGAATATTCTGCTAGTTCTTGTGTCAGTATACCTGTTGATCTTCTTGATTTTTGATTTTGTTCATATGGACACCTCTTTAGGAGGGGTGACGATTATCAGAAGATACCTATATGAGGCATCTTGATTCTTGTCTCTTGCAAGTGTTAATCTCTGTATTCTTGATGTCTTAGCTTTGACTTGACTCTAGGATGTCTAGGCTAAGCAGATTGTAGCCTCCATGAGCTACGAGGTAAAGGGGTAGTCTTTGAAGTACCTGATGCCCTAGAGTTTTGTTCCAAGAGAAATGATTCTTTTATCTGGCTGCTTGGATTTTTGTTTGCCCTTTTGATTAGAAGACATGAATCTTCTAAGCATCTTGATCCCAGCCATTGCTTTGTTCTGTTAATTAATTCGTGTTACTTGGGGTGTTAGATCTTGACATCCTAATTATGTCTGCTCTTGAATCAGTGTTCTGGTTGTCATTATTGAAATCTCTTTTGTGAGCCTAGTTCTTGAATTCTATTGCTTGTTTCATGGTTACTTTTGTCTCTCAATTTTGATTGCTTGGTTAAATTTGATCTTGACTCTTGGTGAATGCCATTTTGTTGCTGAATTTTTTGAGGCATTCTACCTTGCACTCTTATGTTCCAAGCATTCATATTTTCTATTGATTTTATTCTGTTGCAATTCTTGAGAGTCTTCCATGTCTTTTGATGGTCTTAGCTTTTAACTCTTGTTAATTGCTAAAATTTGTTTCTTGATTCCAATTGCTTTGTTAAATATGACCTTGCCTATTGGTTAATCTTGTTTTGTGGCAAAATGTATAAGGCATCCATACACTCGTTCATTATTCATGATCTATATATTTTTTGGATGCTTATCCGTCTTTGAAAGAGTTCAAAATTTTGTTGTACTCATCTGTAAATCCATGCCATTCTATGCCAACTCGTCTTGTGTTGGGTTCAAAGCGTAACCCCACAATTGTTTTTTTGTGGCTTTGGCAGGATTTATTTCTATTCCTTGTGTTTCTCATATCACCCCAGCCTCTAGTAGCTTGTTTCATGGCAAATCTTGTTAAGTGATTAGTGTTCTGCTTTTTAAGATTAGTCGTGATTTGATATCAGAGTGGCACAGCGGAAGCGTAATAGGCCGTGTTCTGTTCTTAGGAAGTGATGAGGCATTTGTTTTGTCTTGGATTGGGTGAAGCCATTCACCACTTGATGTGGTCCTCAATTTGAGTTTTGGGGACAAAACTCCTTTTTAGGAGGGGTGGATGTAATACCCCAAAATTTTATGCTATTTTAGCATTTAAGTAAGG